AATGCAAAATCACATATATTTACGTGATTCTGCACAGCGAAGCCGCTCTGTAGCGGTACATCTAAATAGACTTGTACCATGTGCCATGTGATCTCTGTGATCATTCACAGATTTCACTAGTAGTAAGCAATGATGTCAGAAGTGACATCTTGCTTACTTCTCTTCATGTGATCACTGATTGGCCTCACACAGAGGTCCCGTACAACGATCGGTGTATAAACGGCCACCTGCCCCTGACTGCTCCGTTTCGCCGTTTATATACATGGGCCGAACGGGAAGTGGTTAAATGACTTTTAACGTGGCATGGTTGTTGGTGCCAGATGGGCTGGTCTGAGTATTTAAAAAACTGCTGATCTACTGGGATTTTCATGCACAACCTCTGAGGTTTACAGAGAATGGTCCGAAAAAAAGAAAATATCAAGTGATCAGCAGTTGTGTGGACGAAAATGCCTTTTTGATGTCAGAGGAGCATGGGCAGACTGGTTTGAGATGATAGAAAGGAAACAATAACTCATGTCAATATGGAAACAACTCTCTGAGGAATGTTTCCAACATCTTGGTAAATCTATGCCATGAAGAATTAAGGTAATTCTGAAGGCAAAAGGGGATCCAACCCGGTACTAGCAAGGTGTACCTAATAAAGTGGCCGGTGAGTGTATGTCCAATAACATATAAAGCCAAGCTGCGGTTTCTAAAGCAAGCAAAATCCTCTCTTGTATTAAAAGAGGTATAGACTCAAGAGAGAGAGATATCATTTTCCCCAGTACAAATCATTAGTAACACCTCATCTGGGATATGCAGTTCAGTTTTGGGCACCAATTCACAAAAAGAACATTGGGAAACTGGAGAAAGTACAGAGAAGGGCAACCAAACTGATAAGAGGCATGGAGGAGATCAGCTATGAGGAAAGATTAGAGGAACTGAATTTATTATCTCTTGAGAAGAGGAGATTAAGGGGGGAAATGATCAACATGTATAAATACATCAGTGGTTCATATAGTGAACTCGGTGTAGAGCTATTCACCCTGAGGTCATCACAGAGGACAAGGGGGCACTCTTTACGTCTGGAGGAAAAGAGATTTAATCTCCAAATACGGAAAAGTTTCTTCACAGTGAGAGATGTGAAAGTGTGGAATAGACTCCCTCAAGAGTTGGTTCTGGCCAGCTCAGTGGATTGCTTTAAAAAATACCTGGATTGTTTCTTGGATACACAGAATATAACTGAATACTCACATTTATAGGTAAAGTTGATCCAGGGAATATCCGATTGCCTCTCGGGGGATCAGGAAGGAATTTTTTTCCCCTGCAGGAGCAAATTGGGTCATGCTTTGCTGGGTTTTTTGCCTTCCTCTGGATGAACTGTGGGGTAAGGATTATAACTTTTTTTTTTTTTTTATGGTTGAACTGGACAGACTTTTGCCTTTTTTCAGCCAGACTTAATATGTAACTATGTATGCTATAAGCAAGTAACTACTTCACAATTTGCACAGTAGAGTAAGGACTGGAGAGAGAGGGATCACTTTGATGCAGTTAGGCAGCTTGACCAATAAATTATTATTATTATTATACAGTATTTATATAGCGCCAGAAGGTTTACTCAGCGCTGTACATTATAGTGGGGGACAGAACATGAGACAAGACAGTAAGAAAACAATACACGAGGGGGTCAAGGGCCCTGCTCTTTTGAGCTTACAATCTAGGAGGGAGGGGAACTAAACGTAAACTAAGAATCCCTGTTTATGGAAAAGTTTGCTGGAAATACAAAAGGGTGCCTACCAGTGTGTGGAGGGTTATTTCAGACTCTGCAGTGTTAACATATGGTCACACTTTTTTTGCACTTCATGTATTACAATTATTTTAGCGGTTTGGATTTTAGCACAGATATCTCTCCATTTCTAACCAGGTTTAGATGGTGTCAAAGCTTATACAGGGTTAACGATGTCACCCTTTTCCAAACATTAGGTTCTGGCCTGGAAATCGTCCATTTTGGCCCAAGCACTGTTCGCTGGGAGGAGGTTACATGCTCCCCAATATTTGCCATTTAGCAGGAGAGCGTGGCAAAAGTGAGTAAAAGTGTTATAGGCTCTAACTGTTACTTTGTCTGGAATGGACAGTGACAGAGTCTCTTGAACTATCAATAATTGTAGGTTACAAAAATCATGTACATCCAATAGCTTACCTGGTTGCTGATCTGACTGGAAATCTTGGGCCATTATGTTGGAATTACTGCTTCCTGAAATTAAAACAGACTATATGAATGACTGTAAAATATTTATCATACTTTTAGCCATAGCTCCCGTTAGCAAAATTTAAACTGTATCTCTTTCTAGAATAAACTTTGGACACTGCCCACAAAGGACTCCAAAACATGGGAATCCAGCCAACCCTGATATACAAATTGCATGACTCTTGCCAGGAGGAACATATTTGTATGGACATATTTAGGTGATCCAAAAAATTCACAATTCACTGATTTGTTAAAGCGGAACTTCACTCTCTCAATCAACACTATTTTTTAATCCATATGGTGGTAGCATTAGTAAATAGATAGGACAGTATATCATATTTAATTGTTTTACCTATTTTGTACATTTCTTTAGCTACTTCCTGGTGTCCTAGGCAAATTATGTCATAGATCCCATGAGTGTTCAGGAGGGAAGGAGGGGTTCTTAGCTAAGCATATCTTTCTACTGGCATGCCTGAGCTAACGGCAGATGGATTCCAGGGAGTAAATGCTATATGAATCATCTGCCCTTACTGAAGATGGCCACAGCTAGAAATGCTAGGGGGTGTTTTTCAAAGTGATTTCTCAGCAAAATAAAGCATGGAGACATGGATGATGGGGCAGTTTGCTTGTTTTTTTAAAATAGATTAAACTGTGTTTTTCGTATGTGGTGCTCAGATGCAGTGTAGCTCCACTTTAATAACTGCATGTAAATTTTAAGTGACTGTGTCAGACTTTATTTATTACAGGTACTTATATAGCACCGTCAGTGTACACAGCGCTTTACATATATATTGTACATTCACATCAATCCCTAACCCTCGAGGGGCGTACAATCTAAGGTCCCTAACTCACATTCATACATACACATACTAGGGCCAATTTAGACAGGAGCCAATTAACCTACCAGCATGTCTTTGGAGTGTGGGAGGAAACTGGAGTACCCGGAGGAAACCCACGCAGGCACAGGGAGAACATGCAAATTCCAGGCAGGTGGTGCCGTGGTTGGGATTCAAACCAAATGACTCTAGTACTGCCAGGCGGAAGTGCTAACCATTTAGCCGCTGTGCTGCTATGCTTCGTAACAGTGGACTACATATTTACTTAAATGGAGCATGGGTCTCCAACCTGTGGCCCTCCAGCTGTAGGGAACTACAAGTCCAATGATGCATTGCTGACCAGACTTAAAAAAAACCCCCCTAATGTCACTTTTCATTTCTTTACTTGCACCTCTGGTGGCCCACGAACCTTCTCTCCATTGCAATGCAGCCTCCAGTAGACTCTTCAGCATTTGATACTTCTGAGTGTCGGATGCCTGTGTACCTCCCAAAATAGTTGGTGGTAGTCACTGCAGATGTTAAAGCTCTTCCACTTAAGATAATATCAGTGTGTGTACATCTAAATGGATATATAGTGTATACAGAGGTGTAAACAGATTTTTTTTCTAATATCCTGTAAGAATTCAAATAGATTAGAAATCTCTCAATTTCTATTACACAGTGCAGGTCAAGTGACTAGACCTGAGTCTTCTTTGACTGTATTTATCTGCTCCATATTGGCACTAAGGAGGAGACTTCCAAAAACTGGAGTGTGAAAAATCTGGTGCAACTCTGCATGGAAACCAATCAGCTTCCAGGTTTTATTGTCAAAGCTTAATTGAACAAGCTGAAGTTAGAAGCTCATTGGCTACCATGCACAGCTGCACCAGATTCTCAGTGCTCCCATTTTAGCACAGTGGCTAAGTGGTTAGCACTCGGGATGCTGGTTCAAATCCCAATCACGGCACTACCTGAATGGAATTTACATATTCTGCCTGTGTGGGTTGCCTTCATGTACTCCGGATTCCTCCCACACTCCAAAGACATGCTGGTAGGTTAATTGACTCGTTAAAATTGGCCCCTGTATGTGTATGTATGAATGTGAGTTAGGAATCTTACATTTTAGACTCTTTGAGGGCAGAGACTGATGTAAATGTACAAATGAGCAATATATGTAAAGCACTGCATAAAATTGACGGTGCTATATAAGTACGTAATACATAAATCTCCCCCTTCATGTTCAATAAATAAGTATTGTCATTTTGCAGAGTAGAGTAGAAACTGGCCAGAGAGTGACCAGAAAAAGCTTGTTTGCATAATTGCACACTGTGTTTCCATGTTCTGACCCCCAGGACACTATAGAATACAGCAGTATTGTGGGGTCGCAGGATAGAGCCACAGCCTGTAGCATGATGGGTCTTTTGCAAAGTGCAGGTCTGGAATGGAAGGAAGGTAGGAAACACAGGCTGCTGGAGAGGGGAGTATAAGGCATGACGTACATGGGTACTAGAGGCTATATACAACGTAAACTGTGAAGTATTTCTGCACCCAGGATTCACAGCTGACCATAGTAATGAATGGCTGTGCACAGCTTTAGACTGCTACTTGCATAAACCTGTACATGTACACATACTATTTATGCCCAGGGTTGTATGTCTGTACGAATACAAGTGGTGTAAACTCATGTACAGCTGGCTGTAATAAATAGCTATATCTCCTACAGCCATGTATGACTATATGGTGAACTGTACTCAGCAGCCGTGTGTCTTGGGTGTGAAAATATGCCTGCAATTTATGTTATACAGCCTCATTAACCATTTACCCTTCAGAGGATTTACCCCCCTTCCTGACCAGGCCATTTTTTGCGTTACAGCGCTGTGTTACTATAACCTCCCTGATGGTCTGATTATGTCAATATTTTTGAATGTCAAAGAGGTACATTGTTTTGCATTTAAATTTCAGTGTCTGATGACGAATTTCCCTGCGAATCATTATCACTCAATTCTGCAAGTGATTCTAATTCACTGTCGCTGTTTTCTAGCTGATCTAAAACCGCTTTTGACCTAAAAGGACACTTTTTGGACGCCATGGACGTTCTCAAGTTTCCAGGCAGAGAGAACGGTAAAAGTGCAGGCAGGGCACAGGACAAAGCACTCGGGACAAAACTGAGCTGAAATGGTTTGATACAGTAATGTACCGTATTTTTCGCTCCATAAGACGCACTTTTTTCCCCCCAAAAAAGGGGGAAAGATGTCAGTGCGTCTTATGGAGCGGCCGGTCTGGTATTCCCACCGCCACGTGAGAATACCGGGCCGGCCGCTCGTCTCTTCTGTGCAGCAGAACCTTACCTGTTCCTCGGTCCAGTGCTGCACAGTCTTCCCGCGCCGGCATCTTTAGTATGAGGACCCGACTGTGACAGCCGGGTGCCCAGTGTGCATACGCGAGAAGCGCTGCGCTTTGTGAATGGTAAGGCGTCTTCTGGGACACATGACAGGTCCCAGAAGACACCGGACCAATCACAAAGCGGAGCGATTCTCGCGCATGCGCACTGGGTACCCAGCTGTCAGCCTGGTGCCCACACTAAAGGGAGGACAACTCCGCAGAAGTGGGAGCGGATACCTGTCAAATTCAGGTACCTGCTCCCCCTCCCTCCCCAAAGGTACACAGTCTTAGTCATCCCCTGTACTGGCTTCAGTCTCTGGTCATCCCCTGCACTGTCCGCAGTCTCTGGTTATCCCCTGTACTGTCTGCAATCTCTGGTCATCTCCTGTACTGTCCGCAGTCTCTTAGTCATCCCCTGTACTGTCCGCAGTCTCTTAGTCATCCCCTGTACTGCAGTCTCTGCATCCCCTGTCTGCTCTCTGGTCATCCCCTGTACTGTCTGCAGTCTCTGGTCATCCCCTGCACTGTCCGCAGTCTCTGGTCATCCCCTATACAGTCCGCAGTCTCTGGTCATCCCTATACAGTTCGCAGTCTTTGGTCATCCCCTATACAGTCTGCAGTCTCTGGTCATCCCCTATACTGTCCACAGTCTCTGGTCATCTCCTGTACTATGTCCGCAGTCTCTTAGTCATCCCCTGTACTGTCCGCAGTCTCTGGTCATCCCCTATACTGTCCGCAGTCTCTGGTCATCCCCTGTACTGTATCCGAAGTCTCTGGTCATCCCCTGTACTGTGTCCACAGTCTCTGGTCATCTCCTGTAGTACATCCACAGTCTCTGGTCATCTCCTGTACTGTGTCCGCAGTCTCTGGTCATCTCCTGTACTGTGTCCGCAGTCTCTGGTCATCTCCTGTACTGTGTCCGCAGTCTCTGGTCATCTCCTGTACTGTGTCCGCAGTCTCTGGTCATCTCCTGTACTATGTCTGCAGTCCATTGGTTCAGAATATTTTTTTCTCTTGTTTTCCTCCTCTAAAACCTAGGTGCGTCTTATGGTCAGGTGCGTCTTATGGAGCAAAAAATACAGTAATCCTAACAGATTACAATGTATTGTGTGTATGTCATGTTTTTACTTTTTTGAATCTCCCGTCAGTTCTGCCTTCCTGCGTTGCGGCGCTTGCAGGGAAGGGAACCCGGAAGACTGATACCGGCATCGGCCGGAGGACACCGGTTGGAGGACACAGTGGAAGGACATCGGGGATTGCAGGGACAAGGTAAGTTACACTACAGTGTAATTCTGAGTGTGCCTCCGGGATGCCGCTTTGCTACTGAAAATGAACCCCAAGCCACACTCGAGATTACCGCTAGGGAGGTTAACTGACAATTGCGCGGTCATGCAACACTGCACCCAAATGAAATTTATGTCCTTTTTTTCCCACAAATGGAGCTTTTTTTCGGTGGTATTTGATCACCTGTGCATTTATAATTTTCTGCAATATAAAAAAAAATTTTGAGAAAAAAAAATATATATATTTTGACTTTTTGCTATTAAAAATGTCCAGTAATTTTTTTAAAAAAACCTAATTTTGTCATAAATTTAGGCCAAAATGTATTCTGCTACATGTTTTTGCTAAAAAAAAAATCCTAATATGTGTAAATTAATTGGTTTACGTGAAAGTTATAATGTTTACAAATGGCGGTATATATACTGGGATTTTATTTTAATTTTTACTAGTAATGGCAGTGATCAGCGACTTATAGCGGGACTGCGGTGGGTATTCTGACACTGGGGGGGAACTGACTTGGTGTCACTGACATCCCCAGTGACACCAATAAAGTGACCAGTGCTAATAAAAAGCACTGACACTGTACTAATGACATTGGGCAGGAAGGGGTTAACATGTGGGGAGATCAAACGGTTAACTGTGTTCTGTTTTACTGTGTTAGTGCTTTACACTGTAAGCACACTGATTTTGCATGGCCATGCAAAGTAGTGTGCAGGAGCTAACAGGGGGGAGAACTGTATTGTTTACTTACAGTTCTCTCCCTCCTTTGGTAAGTGTTCCGCGATCATCGGGTGCCAGCAAGTAATCACCGGCCTGGACCCAGTGATTGACAGCCGAGGCTGCGAAAAGCGGAGCGGGTGCCCCCTACCCAGAAATGCAAAATCACGCATATATACATGATTTTGCGCACCCCTGCCGCCCTGTAGCAGTATATCTGCTATAGGGCGGCGGGAAAGCTGTTAAGCCCCTATGCTTATTAGTTTTTCTATTTCAGGAAAGTGCCTTTGGGAGTTTTAGAGACAGACAGGGTCACTTTAAAAAGAAAAATAAATATGATATATTTAAATGCACATTTTTCATATGCGGCTGGTGTGCCGTTTTAATTCTGGAGCTGTCTGCCCACACTTGTCAGGAAAGATGAGTGTTAGAGATATTTGCACTTTCTGTTACTTTTCTCTCTGGTTTCCAGGCAACAGCTGCACCAGAATAATCTGCCAATAACACAACATTCCTTTATCATATTAAATTATTTAAACATGAAAGAGTAGTCTCTTGAAAAAATACACTGATCTCTTGGTATGTGGGCTTAGAGAAAACTGCAACAAATTGAGCAGAAACAAGAGAAACAAATGAACATTTGAAGACAATGTTGATAAATTATCCTGAGCTGATCAAGTGCATTAAATTAAAATTTAAAACAACTGTTCCATAAGGGTATCTGTTCCAGACCGAGGGACAGGGTTGCTCTATTATAAGCAGAAGTAAACCAATTGTGTGATGTTTGTTGTCAAAACCGCTTTCCCACACTGCCCTCCTGTAGATTTATTTATTTCCCATATTTACAGTTGTGTTCAAAATAATAGCAGTGTGTTGAAAAAAGAGAATAAAGCTCAAAATCCTTCTAATAGCTTTTATTTCCATCCACACAAATGCATTGGGAACACTAAACATTCTATTCCAAATCAAAACATGAAGAAAAATATATCAAATTTGTGTTGTTCCTCTAAAAAAATTGAAGAAAAGTGAATATTAGATTGTTCAAAAAAAAAATAGCAGTGTTTTGTATTCTTCTTTACAAACTCAAACATTCACTATATACACTGAAAAATGTTTGAAGATTTAGCTTTCCTTTGAATCACTTAATGAATATTTCGTTGTATAAGCACTGTTTCTGAGAACTGCTGTACATCTGCGTTGCATGGAGTCAACCAACTTCTGGCACCTGTGATCAGGTATTCCAGCCCAGGATGATTGGACTACATTCCACAGTTCTCTATTTCTTGGTTTTTGCCTCAGAAACTGCATTTTTGATGTCACCCCACAAGTTTTCTATTGGATTAAGATCCGGGGATTGGGCTGGCCACTCCATAACGTCAATCTTGTTGGTCTGGAACCAAGATGCACGTTTACTGGTGTGTTTGGGGTCGTTGTCTTGTTGGAACACCCATTTCAAGGGCATTTCCTCTTCAGCATAAGGCAGCATGACCTCTTCAAGAATTCTGATGTATTCAAACTGATCCATGATCCCTGGTATGCGATAAATAGGCCCAACACCGTAGTATGAGAAACATCCCCATATCATGATGCTTGCACCACCATGCTTCACTGTCTTCACGGTGTACTGTGGCTTGAATTCAGTGTTTGGGGGTCGTCTGACAAACTGTCTCCGGCCACTAGACCCAAAAAGAACAATCTTACTTTCATCAGTCCACAAAATGTTGCGCCATTTCTCTTTAGGCCAGTCAATGTGCTTTTTGGCAAATTGTAACCTCTTCAGCACGTCTTTTTTTCCAACAGTGGGACTTTGCGGGGGCTTCTTGCAGATAACTTGGCTTCACATAGGCGTCTTCTAATTGTAACAGTACTCACAGGGAACTTTACACCTTCTTTCATCTTCCTGGAGCTGATTGTTGGCTGAGTCCTTGCCATTTTGGCTATTCTTCTATCCATTCGAATGGTAGTTTTTCTCTTTCTTCCACGTCTTTCAGGTTCTGGTTGCCATTTTAAAGCATTGCGATCATTTTAGCTGAGCAGCCTATCATTTTCTGCACTTCTTTATATGTTTTTCCCCTTTCCAATCAACTTTTTAATCAAGGTACGCTGTTTCTTCTGAACAATGTCTGGAACGACCCATTTTCCTCAGAATTTCAGAGAGAAATGCACTGTAACCAGCATGTACAACATTTGCTGCCTTCTTTCCTTAAATAAGGGCAATAATTGCCACCTGTGTTTCAAAGAATGAATGACCTCACTAATAGAACTCCACACTGCTATTATTTTGAACATGCCCTTTAGTTAGTGATTCAATTAAACAGAATCAGCAGCATGCATGTCATGACTGTTGGGTCTGTGGGATTTCTATTACTCTACTACACCTGCTAGTAAATTATTTGCATTGTAGAAATATAATTTCTACCAAAACAGTGAGTGATCTGGTTAGTGATGTCTGACTGCTATTATTTTGAACACAAACTGTATATACACAGCTAGCTGTGTAAGTTGCCAAAATAACTTTCAAGTGGACCTGTTGTTAACTATTAATCGCTTCCTTACTGCCCTATAGCAGAACTACTGCTACATGGCAGCAGGGCTGCGCAAAATCACGTGTCATGATCTTGCATTTCTGGGTAGGGGGCGCACGCGTGCCACCCTGCCTGCGCAGCCATTGGCCGCTACAGCTGTTGATCACCAGGTCCCAGCCGAAGATTCCCCATTAGCACCTGGCGATCGTTGAGGAACACTGTAAACAATACAGATCTCTCCCCTGTCAGCACCAGCATGCTGCTTTGTATGGCTCTGCATAGCAGAGCCATACAAAGCAGTGTGCTTACACAGTAAAACATACACAGCACAGTTAGTAAAACAGCGCACAGTTAACCCTTTTATTGCCCCAGATGTTAACCCCTTCCTGCCCAGTGTCATTAGCACACGGTCAGTGCTTTATATTAGCACTGACCACTGTATTAGTGTCACTGGGTATGTCAGTGGCAGTTAGTCAATGCCCCTCCCAGTGTCAGAATGCCCGCCGCAGTCCCGCTATAAGTCGCTGATCGCTGCCATTACTAGTATATAAAACAAATTACAGTATATATACCCGCGCCATTTTTTAGCGCTATAACTTTTGCGTAAACCAATTAATTTACACATATTGGGATTTTTTCTAGCCAAGACATGTAGCAGAATACATTTTGGCCTAAATGTATGATGAAATTTGATTTTTAAATTTTTTTTATTGGATATGTCTTAAGGCAAAAAGTCAAAAATATTGTTGTTATTCAAAATTGTCTGTCTTTTTTTGTTTATAGTGCAAAAAATAAAAAATGCAGAGGCGATCAAATACCACCAAAAGAAAGCTCTATTTGTAGGAAAAAAGGAAACAAAGTTAATTTGGGTGCAACATTGCATGACTGCGCAATTGTCAGTTAAAGTAACACAGTGTCGTATCGCAAAAAATGGCCTGGTCAGGAAGGGGGGGGGGGGGTAAATCCTCTGGAGGGCAAGTGGTTAAAACAGAAAAAGGGCCTAAACGTATATTGTCTAAATACATGAATCATGTTTATTATTACTTCAATCTTTGTGTGCTTTGTATATTTTTTCCAGATCTGTATAATAATGCATCATGAAACAACTTGTGATAAAGACCAATGACTGCTGCTCTATCTCTTTGTGCAGGGTGGCTGGTCTCGTATTCGCCCCCTCCTGTCATTTCCTGAAAGCAGTCTGCAGTGGGAAGTCCTGCTAGAGGAACCACCTCCAACTCTGCTCTAGGCAGAGGTTAAGAACAGCAGAGGGATGATGTCATCACTTTTTTAGTATCACCAGTTTTTGTGCAGGGAGCTCAGCTTTAAGATTTAGAAGCTGGAATTAACTGAAGTAGGCACTGCTGCTCCACCAATGTCCACTAGCTCCTGGGTCCTGTGCCAATCCTACTGCATTCTGAATGAGTGCTCAGCATGGGCACCATTCAAAGAATGCCTTGCATGTTCTCAATGACAGCAAGTAATTCCCTGACTGGATGAGGTGGAAAGTCATGACTGCAAAGCCATGCTCTCTACCATGCCCAATCAGAGAATGTTTTTATTTATCAATTAATAAAAAGAAACAGATGAGTTAAAATAAACTTCTTCTGCGGACATAAGACTCTTCCAGGTTCCACTTTGCCTCTGTCAAAGAGTTTTTCTGCCAAAACACTGCAATCCTGAACGTGATTCTTTTGCGTTCAGGGGAGGAGCATTTTACTGCTTCTAAATGTGCTGCTCCTAAACTCTTGTAAAAGCTTGTGTGTGCATGGACACATAGGCTTTTACTGAGTTAAGTTCAGGGGCTTTGGCAAAAAAAATGCCAAAAGCTCCTAAACATGAGTTTAGGAGCAGCTGTGTGCATGAGGCTTAATTGTGATTCTGCTGTAGTTGTCCTTTATATAGGAAGCAACTACCTTCATAGAGGTCCCTCAAACCCTGGGGAAACTGAAAGATGCTGGTTTACACAGAGAAAACACTGTGTGATGGCAGTCTTGTAAGTAAAAGGCATATGCTTTGTGGAGCAGAACACAACGTTCACCTCCCTAGGAGAGAGGGGCATGAACTATGCAATTAATGCTAGATAGGCTAGATTTGACTCTTTTTCTCGTTGTAGTCCCTGCTTAAGTTTTTAATGCCAATATTAGTCATATACTGTATGCAAAGATTTCTTAAAACCGCATGGATGGAAGAATCTCCTCTGCTGACTATTGTATTCAGAGAGACAAAGTCTGAACACCCGACTAGGGACTGCATTTTTTTATTTGAGGTTTTTGAAACTGGGTGGTGCTGACAGGGTCTCCCACAGCCCAAATATCAGCCAAATTCTGAATTTCCCAAATTCGAGGCACGTATGAAAATACTGCCCATGTCTTTTCGATGCTGGAAATGCAATAAAGCTGGCTGCAGCCAGTCTGAAATCTGAATAAATATATATATATATATAAACATAGGCATATAACAGGTATAGTAGACAATCTAAATGGCACAATAGCTTGGCCTGGTGACTGGCCCCTCAGATTTGATATCACATGCTCCCCATACAATAGCAGCAGAAGCAAAAGTAAGTATAAGTAGGTCAAAGTGGAGTTAGCTTTCAAGACAAAATGACGGGGTCTTTTTAATCGTGTTTTGGTACAGCCTGCA